ACTGGAGGAAAATAAGTACCAAATGAAAGCAGTTTAATGATTTTGAAACCAAGTACTGCTGAAAAAACACTGGATTCAATCATTCATATTTAAAGTACTTTGTTATGTATCACTTACCTTAATATCATTGAAGACCAGGTATTTTCTTTCATACACAACAATTTATAAAATACATTAGTGATACATAGAAATAAATTCATCCACAACTTTGATCTAAAGAATGCCACACTTATTAAAAGAGAAAGTAACTTAGAAAATTCTCAAGAGTGCCACTATTGAACCATATCAAAATATAAATCCTATAAAGATTTTCCAGTTGCAGTTAAGTTTCCCAAAATCAAAGGCAAAGGCAGATACGCTTGAAGGAGAGAAGTAATACAATGATTGTATTAAATTTGATGGGTTTAATATACAGAAAATGGTATATGCAAAACGGATAAAAAGAAGGCTTTCAAATATAATTTGTATTTTCAGGCTTAGAAGAGGGAACAAGTGGGCTTTGCAGCTTCTGTATTCCGTTAATGTCCCAGCTCAAATAAACATGTGATCACTATGGTTACTAGTTGCAAAAGAGGAAGATTTCACGATCAAGTTTGCCACATGGCCCCAAAGGGATCCTGATTGGACAGCAGTTAGCCAATCAGAGTCCTGGATTAGTAAGAGTTTCAAGTTCAAGGGTTAAATCTTTTACTATCATATTAAAATTCTTATAATCTACACCTCAGATGTCTCCCAGAATCTAAACAAAGTATTAAGGCATAGTGAAATATTGTTGGAAAATATTGAACTGCTACATAATATCTAATCTCCTATATAGCAGTGAATGCTGAATAATCTCTTCAAAGATGAAGAAGAGATTTGAACCTACAGAGATTTGGTTCTACCAATGAATGCTAAAAATACCATAGACAGAGCAGGTGAGTAAGGATTGATTTATTTTTTTTCACAGCTTATCAACCCTTTGTGAATTATGGAAAGCCAAAACATATTTTTGCATTGTAAAAATAAGTCATTTTTTCAAATGAATATTGAATTTTTTTTTCCTGATACAAGTTCTACTATTTAACTCATAGCTGGGGGAGAAAAGACAGATTCATACTTTTCCTAAGGGTATTTGCATGTAAATAAATGTAACGGCTCTCCAATTTTTCATTCTGAGTCACTAACCATTACAATGCTTGCACATCTATGGGTAACAAGGATGCCTAAAGAAATATAATAACAAGACAACTTGTTACAATTAGAAAGAGACAGCTAAAATTTATTGAACACATAATGAGGAGGGAAAGCCTAGAGAATTTAATACTCACAGGATACACTGATCTTTAGTGTATATCTATGTGGATGGCACAATAGTTTATAGCTGTGCCTCCAAGAACGGATAACCAAGCAGCTGATAACTCTCTTCTGACCTATCCCTGGTAGTTGAATGGGGGAAGAACTCAATGGTAAATTTCAATATGTCCAAAACCAAATTTCCATCACCACCATGCAGACCTCGAACATTCACTTACCATGGGTCTTCTCTTAAAGAATCTCCCTGCCTTAAATATCTATTGGGACTCAAGCTCACATGGAACTTATTTATACGATCTATTGCTAAAGATGCTGGAAAAATGGTCAGTTCATTGTACTGCTCAAGTATGTATCTGACTCTACCTGCTATAGCAAGACCAGACCAAAAATGAGGTATCGCTGCCATATCTGGGTTGGAGCTGTCTTGATAGAGTTCAAAAGTGGCTATTCTGCCTTGTGGGTGATAAATGATTTTCCATCCTATAACCCCTTTTCCCACAGATAAACATCACGAGCATCTCGCTACTCTATTGTTATTTCCATGGCAAGTGTTCTAACAAGCTACATTCCTTGGTCCACCAACCCCGACCTTTGCAGCTAGGACTCACCATGCCACGTACACAAGGATGAATCATCCCCATTCCTTTTGTATTCCTGTAGTAAGAAGTTCCATTCAGAGAGCTTTTTCCCAAGAACTTCTCTTTTGTGCAAAAAAAAACTCCCAGCAAGATGTTTTTCCAATCAATACAATCTTGACTTCTTCAAGTCTAGGGTTATATGTACTGCCTTTTCTTACACTCATACAACACCACACAGTAAGCCTCTAACTTGAGTGGCTCTTGGACCTTGTATTGGCTGAACATTAAAAGAAAAAAAAATATAATGAAGTCCAAGAGAAGCAGGGAAACACCAAGTCTTTAAAATTTGCATGAAAGGATGGCAGTACATGTACAATGAAGACAGTAATTTCTCAGAAATCATTTAAAGCAACAAAAGACAGGAAGTTATGGAGAGCCATGAATGCCTAAGTCAAGAAAGGACTTGGTACATAAAAGAAAAGCAACTTGATGACTTTTTATATTACTTTGCTGCAATTACTTAGTATGCTGCAATTACTAACTCAACACTTATTAATATCATTATTAGTTATTTCATAATCATTATTACTGTTTTTATTATGATTTTATTTAATAATTATTTACTGTCATTATTATGACTGTATTCCATAATTATTATGACTATCATTATTATGACTTTATTTCATATTGCTCTCATTATTATGATTTTATTTCATAATCATTTACTGTTATTAGTATTTTATTTCATAATTATTATTTCTTTCATTATTAAGATTTTATTTCGTAATTATTTACTGTCATTTTTATCACTTTATTCTGAAAGTATTACTATCATTATCATAATTCTATTTCATAATTATTATTACTTTCATTATGATTTTTTTCAAAATTATACTTTTATTATGATTTTATTTCATAATTACTATCATTATTTTCATTTTATTATCATCATTATCATTCTATTTTAAAATTATTTTTACTGTCATTATTATGATTTTCTTCATAATTATTATTACCTTCATTATCATAATTTTATTTGATAATTATTATTACCTTCATTGATTTTATCTCATAATTATTATCATTTTTATGATTTTATTTTATAATTATTATGTATATTATTATTTTATTTCATAATTATCATTATGATTTTATTTCATAATTATTTGATATCATTATGATATTTCATAATTAATATTACTTTCCTTAATATGAATTTTATTTGATAATTACTAATATTTTTTAATATATTTATTTTAAAATTATTTTTACTTTTATTATTTTGATTTTATTTCAGCATTATTTACAATCATTATCATTTTATTTCAGAATTACTATTAGGTTGGTGCAAAAATAATGACGTAATAATGTCGTTTTTTGACCTTAAAAAATACGTCAAAAAACGACATTATTACGTCATTATTTTTGGACCAACCTAATATTTCTTTCATTAAGATTTTATTTGATAATTATTTACTATCATTATTATGATTTTATTTGATAATTATTTTTACAGTCATTATCAGGTTTTTATTTCATCATTATTTTACTATCATCAGTATGATTTTATTTCATAATTACTATTATTATCATTATTATGATTTTATTTCATAATTATTTACTATTATAATTTTATATAATAATTATTATCATTATCACTTTGTATCACAATTGAATTTCCTATATGATTTTATTTCATTTTACTATTATCATTTTATTTCATAATTTTTATAATTATTACTGTAATCATCTTGATCTTTATCATCATTATTATTATTATTATTATTATTTAGCATTTATTATAATCATCTTGCCTTTGCCGTTATTTTCATTACCTAAAATTATTAACTAAAGTTTAAATTCTTAAATTTTCCATTATCATCATCATTACCACTATCACTCTTATCTCCTTCCTTTTATTGAATTTGTTGAATAACTTATACACTGAATTATTGGCTCCAGGATCCAATCTATTCTATTATCGGCATTCTCACTATTACCACCAACCTGCCGCCTTCCATATTAATTGTCACTGGAATCACCTTTACCAGAATTTAACCTATTTTTATAATTCTTAAGAATAAATATTAAAAAGCCAGTCAACGAAAATAAAATGCATGGCTGAAACGAAATGGAAAGCACCCAGAAAAGAAATAGAGAAAGAAAGAGTAAGTCTGAGAGAGAGGAAAGGAGAAATAGGCAGATTCAGAATGAATGAATGAATGAATGGAATGAAGATAGATAGATAGATAGATAGATAGATAGATAGATAGATAGATAGATAGATAGATAGATAGATAGAACAAAAAAGAAACAGGTCAAAAGAAGTAAATGCTAAAAAATTGAGATTTCTGTTTAATAAGTTGACCTCTTTTTTTCTTTTTTTTAAATCTTTATTTAACGCAAAAGTCAAGTAATGCATTGATGGGATGGAATAAAAAAAAATGACAACTGGTTGAAGAAGAAGAGGGAGAAGAAAGAACGTTTCAGAAAGGAAGGGAGAGATGGGCAGAATCAGAATGAATGAATGAATGAATGAATGAATGAATGAAATGGATGAATGAAAGGAATGCGAGAAAATTGGAAATAAACAGGTTTCGAAAAGAAATAAAAAAAAAAGCTTTATGCAGTAAAAAAAATATAAACATGTGTGCGAGTAACCTTCCAAAAGCAAATCAAATCATTATGAATAAAAATAAAAAGCCAGTATAAGAAGGAATAATAAAACGGATTTTTTTTTCCTCTTGTTTTGTTTTAATACTTGTGTTATGTCACATTGCTTTCTTAAAAATTCGTTCCTCCTCCTCCTCCGTCACTTTTTCTTTCTGGCATCTTCATTCGTTCCCGCACGATAGAACCAGACCGGATAACCCGGTTTCATCGTGAGCGGAAGTCAAGGTCACGTGGGCGTGCCACCACCGAGTTGTCAAATCTTATTCCTTCAGCTTCTCCTGATACTTTCTTCTTCCTTCGTTCTTTCTTTCTTTTTTTTTTTTTAAACACGGGGCTTTGAAGGCTGAATTAAACACAGCAGCTGTAGTTTCTGTCTGCTTTATACTTACTCGAACAACAGCTGATTAGAGACATTTTATTTTTACTATTTCACACATACAATTGACTGTAACGATGAATTGCAAAGGAAATGTCATTGTAAGTAGTTAAAAGTAATATTATGTGCGTTTTCTTATTGTTATTTTACTCGGAATATATTATAATATTTGTATCAAAGTTCCGGCATGAAATTTGTATTTCGAATAATAATTTACATTTCTTCATTCAATGGATTGGAGTGTTAAAAAGATGTCGTCTGCTTTTTCTTTTTTTTTTTTTTTTTTCACCCGTTCTCGTTTTTTTTTATTTCTTTAAATATTTTCATTCATCTTCCTTTTGTTAATTTCTTTATTTTACCAGATTTAAATCTATTTCATTTATCTATCTTTGCATAAGTCAGTATTTGTCGATAAACATGTTTTTATATTTCTTTCTTTCTTCTCCCAGTAGTGAAAAATGAACCGCTACTGTTGATTGATACAGTAATAATAATAAGAAAAGATTCAACAACATATAATTCTTTTCTTTCGTTTATTTTATTCATATTTGAGGCAAAATATAATTTTTTTTTTCTAACTGAATTGGCATTTTTAGTAAAATTTAGACTTTTTACAGTGCAAATGTATCATTTTCAATTCTTGTTATTGCGATATGGAGTTTTAAAAATGACTTTTTTTTACTCTCTCAGATTACGAACCCGCCTTATTTAAAATTTTTGACAGCATTATCCTTTCTGAATGTAAAATAAATACTAAAACAAAAAATCCACTTAAGCAAAATAAATCTTCTCTCTGAATGAACGAATAAATTAAATAGCGCTTTTTCCCCCCTATCCTGCTTATCTTCAGTACATATTTACGGTAAGGTAGTCACATATCCCTTTTTATTTTTATTGGTGAGTTAGGTTTTAGTTATTTATGCTAAACAGTTTGAATTGCGACATCGTTTACCTTTTTTTTTTTCTTCCCCTTTTTTTTTTTTTAATTTTTTTTTTTTTTTATAGTTTTTTTAGACTTTCTTATTTTTGAGTTTCTTTTGTTTTTCGTCACTAAACGAATAAATAAAATTAATGACAAGACAATGCTTCATTTAAGAAATTCTTACATTTTCAGCGGGTTTATATTATTTGTTTCTTACAACCTCAACAAGACTGCTATTGCGGGTTCTATCATTTAAAAAAAATATATACATAATATGAGAATAGAGCAAAAAAAATAGGTGTTTAAAAATTCTTACAAACATTTTAATGTTTTATATTTATTATTCCTTAATTTAGGTTTTGAAGTGTATAAAAAAAAAATATTGCCATAATTTATAGAAACAGCTCCTCCCCCTCCTCGACCATTTCTGAATTATAATAAAAATAAAATCAATAATTTTGTTTGTCAGTTGTTGAAGATATCATTTTTTTTCCCCTCATTTTTAGTGGACAATAAAAATTATTCCTGAATTAAACCTCAAACATGTCCTAAACAAAACTGAAATTTTAAAAGTAATAAAATCAAAAGAAATTTGAATATCGATTATTCAATTGAGTCTGTATCGCAATGTTACTAATTTATCCTTAAATTAATAATTATAATAATTAAAAATAACGTTTTAACATTTTTTTCTAAATACTTCTAATTTAAAACTAAATTTCTTGTGTTGAAGTTCGAATTCTTTCGTTTCTCTTAAATTATTACAAGACATCTTTTGAAATACAATGTCTACTTTTTATTGGTTGCAGAAACGCACTGAACTGAACGGAATTGACTTTTAAAAAAAAACACCTTACAATTCAAAACAATTTTGTCAGTTTTTTCATTTAAACATCGATAGACTAAAAAAAAAATTAACTTTTTATTTATTCATAAAATGGTGTTTAAATTTCAATTATCAACGTGTAGGCCCAAGAGTGGAAATCTTGCTAATTTCAATCAAATGTTTTGAATTTTATCAATTGAAGATTTACTGAATTTACCAAAAAATTCCTTCTTCTCCTCTTTTAAAAAGAATTGGAAATGAATTTACTTGCTTTCTTTCATTGCCCTTTTTCTTTTCTTTTTGGTAACAGAAACCTATGACATTTTGGTTTCGTTAAAATTTTTAACTTTTTTTAAGTCTTGTTGAAAAATGTACCCAAAAACCTATATTGAGTCATTTAGAAAAAAAAAAATATCAGACTTTGTTTTTAAAATGATATAAACGTTTGAAAGTTAATAAAAAATTTAATTGAATCATGTTTGAAATAAGATAGGAATCTTGATGGGGTGAAGCAGGGAAGTAATAAAAAAAATACAATCTCTGCATGTATTATTTTTCTACTTACAACTTCTGGAAAAATTTTCCCCAAAAGATGACCCTCCCTTCAAAAAAAAAAAAAAAAAAGTTAAATGAAATGAAACTATCAATATTTCTAGACTTAGAAAAGATTTAAATAAAATAATTACATTTAATGCAAAAAGGGTTGCTTTTTTTTTTTTTTTTTTAAGTCTTATGACCATTTAGTTAGACACCTTCAAAATAAAATTTTTTTAAAAAATATGAAAGACAATTCATAAAGAAATAGCTTTTATTTTCTAACTCAAATAGAAATAACATCGTAATCTTAAATATACAAATTGATTTTTATTTTTTAAAAATGTACTTATGATGAGAAACGACTTTTAAATCTTTTCGAAGTGGCTATTTAGAATTCCCATACTTAAAAAAAAAAAAAAAAAAAAAAAACTTTGCCATTTTATTTATTATTTATTGAGTATTGAATTGACTATTGAGGGTCATTATCGACGTTTTTATTTTGTTTACATTTTTGTAGCCTTCTCATCCCTCCTGCATAAGTCAAGTGAAGGAATTTTGAGACTCTTTGAGGCCAAGCCAAGTGTCTCAAAATTCCTTTACTTGACTATTTTTTTTTTTCTTTTCTTTTTACTTAAAAATTTTGTGATTTGAAATTAAACTCCTACTCTAACCTTATTTTGTTTTAGAAGAATGAGGCGGTTAGTGAAATCGCTAGACTACAAAAAAAAAAAAAACCCAAAAAACTGATTCAAGACCTAAAAGTAAAATTTACTCGTACGACTATTTTCATTTGTTGAATAAATTAATCTTCACGATGAGTTTTTTTTTTCTTTAAAGCGTTCTTTCTAATTGAATGAAATGTCTGTTTTGTTTTTTTTCTTGTTTTTTTTTTTTTTTTTGTTTCTTCTTTTGTTTTTTTTTAAATTTATATTTCATTATTTTTCTGATAGTCATCCTTGTCTTAATTTCCACATTAGCCAGTAAAATAGCCATGCCTTGTTGTGCCCACCACGTGTCTTGTTAATCTGGTCAGTAGACTTCTTTCCTCTTCTGTCTTGGTTTTTTTTTTTTTTTTAACTTATTTTATTTCTTACTGTTTACAATAAACTTGAACTTGACTCAGAATTTCGTTAGTTTACAATTAATATTCGTTTTAGCTTTGAAGACTTTTAAACAAAAACATTGTTTATTTACTACTTCAAGCCGTTCACTTTCAGTAGTATTTTGCTAATAAAAATTAACAAAAACTTTTTTTTTTTTTTTTTTTTTTTTTTTTGAGCTTGTTGAAAAATGCTACCAATTGAATATTCTTTTTATCAAAGCTACTGAGTTGAGAACAGGTTTTAAAAGTAATGAAAAGTGAAAACATTGTTCACGAGTGGGGTAAGAATTTTTCGAAAGATTTGAATTACTGTGTAGAGATTGTTTTGTTATTATAATGGACTCTCCCGTCAGTTTCAATGTATTGAGGATCTGACAACTTATTGATTCAGTTATGAATTTTATGCAATAATCTTAAGTTCTATAACACTAAAGAACCTGATCAGTCAAATCAGCCAGTATTTGCCCATAACTGGGACCCTAACAGGTGCTACCATTCTGGGTCGGGGCATACCTGGGGACAACAATTAAAAGGTGGGCCTATGTTCCTCAAATCCTCCAATCTGCCGGATGTAGTTTAATGTCATACACACACACACACATATATATATATATATATATATATATATATATATATGAATGTTCCCCCTCCTCCCAGGTCCAAGAGCCACTCGAGGTAGAAGATTACTGTGTAGTGTTGTATAAGTTTTAGAAACGGCATTGTGTATTTTTAATTCTCTTAATAAATGAATAAAAACTTTTACCCTAGGGTAAAAGGAAGAGTAGTAAAGTTGAGATTTGATAGGAACATAATACATTCCTTTTAACTCTTTTAAATGTTTATGATACAATGGTATATGGGTGCATGTCCAAAGACTCTTAGGCCAAGACTAGAGTCTAGCAGCTGATCTCTCCTATGACCTAGTTTTAACAGCTCGGCAACAGGAGGAAAAACTGGCTCGTCACATTCAATGGCTCAAATCAAACTAGTGACGTTCCATCATTACTGAGTGGACCCTGAATTTCCACCTATCACAATGAGTCTTCTTTCAAGGAGGCTCTTTACCTTGAATGCCTATTGGGATTTAAATTCAACCCCGATCTCAAGTAGAACTTGTACATCCAATCCATTACTAAAGATAATGGGGGGGTAGGGAATGGTTGATCCCATTTACCACTCCAGTAAGTACCTGACTTTTCCTGCTATCCTCTATCTTTACAAGAGTCAGATCAGGCTGAAAATGGAGTACTGGTGCCATATATGAACAGGAGCTGCTCAGTGTTCACTTTTCAGTTTCATTAGTCCAAAAGCATCACTGCGTGCTTGTGGGCGATGAATTATTTTCCACCCTGCAACTCCTTCTCCTGCAGAAGAAACATCGCAAGCCTTTTAGTCACTATTTCCATGGAAAGCATTCAGATGAATTACGTTCCTTAGTTCCATCAGTTTTAACCTTCATGGCTAAGACTTGCCATGCTCATTGTAGCGAACCACCCTCATTACTTCTATATTTCATTGGTGAGATGTAAGTTCCACTTAAAAAAAGCTCAAACCAAACCCCCACTCCCACCCCCGAACCCCTTTTTTGTGGAAAACAATGCTAGTGGATACTTCCCCAATCACTACAATCTTAACCTGTTAAAGTCTAAGGTTAACCAATATCTTCCCCATGTACTGTATCTTTTACTCTGTAACCTTTTACCCAAAGTGACTC